GTCGGGAGTAAATTTGAAATGCCAACTGTACTGGTCCGAATCCGATGTACTCTTTTTTCAATAAGTAAATATCGGCAAGAACATCCTGGAACAAAATCAGTGAATGAAAATTAACGACTGTCATCAAATCAAAGCACAAGGTATACAACTGACTTTACTAAACTTGTCTAAATCCCAGCAAAAAAAAATTAAAAAAAAACATCCGATAAAGTACTGGCAAAGATCGTAGCGAGCTTGGAATGTCTCTGTTTGAAGAAAGGATAAAGAACGAATAAAATAACGAACGAGAACAAAGGGAGGAGAAGAAACACAAAGCAAACTACAAAACGTTTGTCAGCGAAAAAATGAAGTTTCGAACGGAACTGACAAAACAAAGGATAGTTAGCAGGTAGATCTGAGAGGAAATTATATATATAAAAATATGTAAAAGAAAATAAGATAACGCAGAAGTCAAAAAGGAATTTAAAAGTTCCTCCAAATCAAGATTGATAGGTCTGAAAGAAGAAACAAAATAATGAGTAAGAATATTAAAAAACAACAACATTCCGACGAGTAAAGCTATTTAAAAAAAATACATTACATGATAATAAGAAGAAAAAAATAAATAAGAAAAGAAGAAGACGAAGAGGACAATAAAAAAACGGGAAGAAAAAAAAAGAAGTGGCAAGAACAAATCAGAGAGAATGAGAGAGAGAGGAGGGGGGAGGAGGAGGAGGAGGGGGGAGGGAGGGTATCTCAAGCACTCTTGCCGAGGTGACTGACTTGCCGCTACGAAGGTCCACGTGATCATGGCCTGACTCGGGGCTAGGAGGGTCAGGAGTGGGGGGGGGAGGTGAGGTCCGGAGGAGATAAAGAAAAGGAAAGGGCGATCGCATAAAAAGGGAAATAGATAAAGAGAGAGAGGAGAGGGGAAGGGTCAGAGAGGAGGGTAGAAAGACGAAGTGAAGGGAAAGGAAATCGTGTAAATAAAAAAAGAAGAAAGAGACAGGTAAGAGGAAAGCTCGAAGGAAGGTAGAAAGGAAAGTAAGACCGCAGGAGATGAAGAGAAATAACCAGAGACAGGAAGAGGGAGAGAGAGAGAGAGTAGAAAAGGCGTAAGAAAATAAGAAACTTCAAAAGCAACGATGAAAATGAGAGGCACAGCAGCATTTTTAAAAACCGATGAATCGACATTGTCAGCTGTAACGAGCGCCTTACGTGTTCCAGCTGACCTACTTGGGAGGGTGACTTCAGCGAGATCTCTCCAGAGGGGAGTGTATCGCGGCCTCTCGTTCCCCAGCCGTTCTTCTCGTTTTTTTGGTGTGTGTGTTTTTTTAAAGGAAGATAGAGCGAGAGAAATATTATTTTGCGAATAAAAGGAAGAGAGATATAGAAAAAAAAGATCAGCATTTAAAGAGCAGGGGGAGAGGTTAAAGAGGAGAGACAGAGAAGTAAAAAGAAAGCCAGTTCCTTTACGAGTTTCTAGTTTACAATCACTCGGTTATTCAACAAGAAATTTCTTGTGGCGATTCTCGTAAACGGGATATCATAACCAGACGAGTTTTCTCTTTCTGCTTTATCTCTCGCTCATCTTAATTTTTCCCAGTCGTGGAAGGTGGATCCTCCCGGCCGGTGAAGCACTTAATAAATAAACAAGAAATACGCAACCTTGATTACGTAAGATGATGAGGTAATGCTTGTGAGTGCTTGTCCAATTGCGTCATTCGGGGCTTTATTGTGCATGCGAATGGGGGAATCTAGAAGCCTGTTAGACTGGGGGGGAGGGGGGAGTTGGGGGGATAGGGATGGTAGGGGGAGCTATGGGAGAGGGGGAGGGGGTAGGGAAGGATGAATCAGAAATCTGGGCGGAAAACAAGGGCGGAAGAGCAAAGTGCATTCTGGTTTATTCAGGATCGCAACCCCGGAAATATCAGGAGGATTCCTGCGGGGGCTGGGGGTGCGTGGGGGGAGGGGAGTGAGGTTTGGCAAAGCAAGAGGAAAGTGTCGAGGAAATGTGAAAGGAGAGAGTGTCTCGGAACAAAGGCAAATGGGATTAAACACTAAAGCTTCCCGAAGACGCGTTGCCTTCTGACCTTGACTCTTCTTAGGCTGTGATGTACATACATGCTTACATATATGCATACACACACACAAATACATACATACATACATACATAAAAATGCACTCACTACCGCACATACAAGCATACATGCATCCATACATATATATAAACGTATCTGTGTTTATAATGGAATGTTCTCAGACCGGACTAGACTCGATACTAGGTGTGTATGCAATACAAATGGTGTTTGGGTATGGACTGGATGTACCTTGACTGACGGGCCAGGGATGTTAAGCTGCTCACCACGCAGAGGTCACAGTGCTGATGCAACGGAGTTTAAGTCTGCACGGTAGTCTCATCATGTGGTTCTGTGTATACTTCCGCGTTCGTGTTGCTTCATTTCAGTCAGTAGGTAGACATAACTGGAACTCGCCAATAAAACAGAAGGGATGTGGAAT